AAAAAGGCTGGTGTCTGGTTAAATGAGATCAGGTCATACAAAATCATTCAAGGACGATTACTCGAGATGTATTCATTGATTAAGTTTTACCAGCTTCCTGACATTTGCACACTTGGTCCTTGTTATATGTGTCCTTCGCCATACACGTATAAGACTTTCCAGTTGAAGGTCGAAGCGTCGTCGAAACTTATTGACGTGATTAAAAAGATTCTATTTTAAAGATTTAAAAGATTTAAACACGGCTGATATGAAATAAAAATTTGAAAATGATGCCTTGCCGAAATCTTGGAAGTGACCGAGGTTGCATTAATGTTCATAGGAAAAGGGTGTCACTAATCGTTCCACGTTTTGCGTTGCTAAAATAACACCATGTTTTAATATAAGGACTGTGTACTTGCACGCCAAACTAAAATCATCATCAGTAGCCTTCTGCGATCCACTGCAAAGTGACGGCCTTCAGGATTTTGCCGTAAACTCCTGTTCTGTGTGTTTTTCGTTCTTGACCCAACTAACAACGTGTCACTGAACATCGATATCATCATCTTTCATTATGCCATTTACTCTCTCATAATCGAGTCTAATATCACTGGTCGTTTTTTCTTGCAAATCTTCCTATCGGTTGCCATTACAAATCATTTTCAAGCTGTATTTTTTATGCTTTCGTTTCTCTTGTGTATGCTGAGAGTGTATTGTGAAGCTGTCCCGCAAAATTCTTTTTAATTTCGTTTTATGTACAGATGTAGATGAGCGTTTAGTGGCATGATCAAATTTGTAGATCTTTTGATTAACATCTGACCAGTCTGTTTGTATCACTAATGAGATATTATGAACGAATGCGTCACATGATCCAGTTGTCACCACAGCTTCATTTTAACCGTTCGTCTCTAAAATTGTGATAATGCGCTTCATGCAGCAGTACTGCAGAATGGCGTAATTCTTGGAAAATACTATTGTAAAGTTCTGGAGCGTCATTTGGTGGTTAATAGGGAAGAATCTTGTGAGGCCGTCTTTTATTGCTCTAATTTGACCCATCAAGTAACCGGGTATCTTTTGTGAAGTACTGTTAGAAAATTAATTTAGTGCACATCGATAGTTGAAATTTGTTGAATGCTGTTGTTTTTTATGCTATGTTTATTAGTGTTGATGTCTGTGTCATAGCGTCGGTCTGAAGGCTAAGGACAGTAAAAGTTTTTCACCGTTCTTATATAAACATTGCCGCTTATTTGCAGCCTGACAGCGCTTATCAGGGTGGAGTGTTTTTCCTCACGATACACTTTCCTACGGATTACCCGTTCAAGCCTCCGAAAGTTGCTTTTACTACTCGCATCTACCATCCGAATATCAATAGCAACGGCAGCATCTGCTTAGACATATTGCGCAGCCAGTGGTCTCCAGCATTGACGATATCTAAAGGTAAGCTGGCGTCAATAAATTGAAATCAATAACTGGTTTTTGGTTTAACCTCGCGGCGCACTAATAAACGATGTTACTGAGTGATACCTGTGTTCTGGAGGATTATCTGACGAATGAAAGCTACTGATTCCACGAAAAAGCTTTATGGCGTCAAGAATGGCCTGGAAGAGTTTAATCTAAAGTTCTCAAAACATGTAACTACCCAAAACTCATTTAACAGGCTATTGCTTAGACAAAATAGAAATTAGTCGGTTTCATGGTAATGTAGAACATTGGTTGGGGAATTCATGAATTCTTAAGGCTGTTGCCCTTTTCACATGACACCTTTATGATGTCTTATGTTGAATTTGAAGCATAAAGTAATTGTATGTACTAAACCCTTTACTGTTTTTGTCTTGTTAAGAGGCTTCGAGAAATTCCTCGTGTCCTTATATTTGACGTTACCCATCGATGCCCCATAGGCGGTATCCTAGCTGTTGCAAAGTTCCGTGTTCATTTTGATGCTGGATTATTGACCCCGTTTGATTACCTGTTAAACCGTACATGATTGTCGTCGCTTAACCAGTATTTTGTACTATGTATCTTGCTTTAACATTGTACTAGTAAACTATTTCTTAACATATTTTTAGTTCTTCTAAGCATCTGTTCTCTGCTCTGTGACCCAAATCCCGACGACCCTTTGGTACCGGAAATAGCTCGTATTTACAAAACAGACCGGGATCGTTACAACCAACTTGCCAGAGACTGGACACAGAAATATGCGATGTAATCGGCAACTAGTTGTGTCGAAAGACGGACAGCAGCTGGCCAGGAAATGGCCCCTGTTGACGTTTGGTTTGCGCAAATAATCATCCAACGAAAAGACATTTCATTTACTACTCCTACTTTGGAAATTTGTGTTCGTAAATACTTTGACTGCATAAATTTCGTACAAAAGTTTTCATCCCAAGTTCGTTATATGGTCAATTTAATTTTTTACTTTCTATTTTTATGTAGATTTTTGCTATTTTGCTTATTCCCTCATACTCTCCTTGTTTCTTTATTTTAACGACACCGCCACATTACAAGTGCCCGGTTTTGTTCGCAACCTGCAGTTATGCTCGTAAATGCTGATCGATTGAGTAAAGTTGTATAGTGTTTACGAAAGAAGTTGGTTCACTGGTCCTTTGACTCGTTGTTGTTTTTCATTTGCTTTGTTCTGTGGTGTTGGCGTAAAAGTAGCAGGAGTTTTTTTCGACTGTAATCTGTAGATCGATAAATATTTGGTGTGACGTTTATTTTCAAGCATTTGTACGGTATTCTGCTCATCAACCAGGTAATCATATGTCGATAGTCCTTTCGCGGAATTTTTTATATCTTAGTATTTGTCCGATCGTATCATTCGCTGTTCTTTCCGTTTCTGGCCAATCGCGGATTGTTTTTACAATATGAGAATTAAATGATGAAGAACATGGACACGCGAATGAATAACTCCAGATATTAAGGGAACTTGGAAAAAGTGACTTCCGTTCATTTTTAATGGTCAAATGCCTATCTTACGTATATTACAATATCAAGATGATATACATTAAATTTTAAAGTGGTATGACAGATCAGTCCTAATTGTAAAAGTGGGCGCATGTCCGCAGTAAGGTAAGATACGCAAGCCCATTTGTAACTACAGTAGAATCTACAGATAGATATGAAGATCGAATTGGAAGATTTTTCACTGACGTACGATCTCTTTTGACGGTGCTAAAATATTTTCGATGCCGAAAGCGTAAATCAGTCCGCTACAGTTTCTGACATGAAATGAACAAACTTTGACCGTTACAGAACCGGTCGTTTTTCGTTTAAAAGCAGAAATTTAAATTTAATAACCTCCGCTGATGTAGAACTTGTGTTCCAGACCTCATCGGTTCCTTCCATAGGAATCATTTCGTGGGAGTAACTGAAGGCCATAGAAAACACGCTCTGCTGGTTTCAGACTGTTCAAAATTTCTTTTACGGGTTAATGCATCACTTATAGCGATGACATTCCTTTGCCAACGTATCGGTATATGGTAAAAAAAGAATTTAAAGATATTGAATATAAATTTTATGACCATGCGTGAAAAACTGCAAATTAAGATACTACTCTCGATTCGTATTGCCGTGAAGGTAAGAATGCATAAATATAGTTTAAAAAATCTTTAAAAGCAGCCTTGATTAGTGTATGTCAGGTGAACCTAAAATTCGAAAAACTGTTTACGAGACGACTGCTATATCGAAATTGTTCATATACATATTCATCAATATTTTGGATCACGTCCGATTCGTCTCCAAATTGAGTTTCATATAGCATTTAAATGACTGCGCCTGTCTTTGCATAGTTATAGGCAATAATTAGTGCCATGTAAAATATTTTATTAACCGACGCGTTTCGGCACCAAACCAGCTTCTTCATGAAAGTAATAGCTAAAGACAAGTTAGCTGCTACAAAAACAGGCAACGAATACGTTCCATAGCAACATATATAACAATGAACAAAACGTCATTGTATATTTACGTCTTTCCCTAGAAAATCACGATCCAAAGCAAGAATGTGTACATAATAAATAATAAATTTAGATCCGATGATCCCCTAAAGGAATTTTCAAATTTTGTATAAAATCATATGTATGAAATAACATGTTTAACTCCGTGAAAATATAGTTATCGTTAATTAGTGAAGGTAAGTCATATTGCTGTTTTAGAAGAAATTGACTGCCATTACTTTCTCATACATCTTAAAAAACAATGCAGCTATGGTTTCGAGACGCAGCAATTAAATTTTTTGTCGTTCGTAGTTCTTCATTTACTCTGAACGGTGAATCAAAAAATTCCATGTAAATCAGTAATACAAAAATGCAGTGAATTGTCATAAAATCGTATGCTTTGTACTTGCACTCGTTTCTGTTTTGCAGAAAATCACCATTCCCGTTGAAGGGTCCCTGCCCGTCGTACATTACAGCTTATTAAAATCTACGTCTTATGTATTATTGCCATTTATGAACTCCCTGTGGTTACGAAGAGAACTGACTTTTATTCCTCCACTGTGAAACGTTATTTCACTACCCACTGGCATGAACTTGGCATAGGTGATATTTTCACCTGCTTGAAATTCGTGGATAGAGCAAGTCAGACTTTCGCCATATTAATCAACTTGATCGCTTCTTGTTAGGAAAGATATCTTCCGCACTCATTTTAAACATGAAAATTTAATAAATAGAAATGAATGACAGATTTACTGAAAACTAGCAGAATTTAAACCCAACGGGTAACATATTTGTAACAGCTAAGTACATGCAAAATATTAACTGCTCTTTTCTATTTTGTATCCAAATTTTGACGACAGTGACATCATGATCAAGTGACAATACACGACTTTAAACTAAATTTATTAATAATATTCTATTGGTGTTGAGAACAGCAGAAAGAATTATAATAAATCACATTTAAGAACAGTACGTATTTGAAATTTAACATCAAGTTTAACCGCTCTTAAATCATAAACAGCGTCCAATTCTGTCAAATTATGTTACATAAAATGTTTATAAACTTCCCGAGATTAAAACAAAAATTTAGAAATGACCAATGAAAGAGTACACACCGTCAATAAGATAAACCGCCCCTCCCCCAGTTGCAACACATTTTACTAATAGATATCGCAGGAAAGTTTTGACGTTCACTGAATTCACAATAGACGTCATACGGTAGCTGCCAATTTCATCATTATTTAACGGTAACACTTGTCGAAGTTATTCACACAAATGCAGGACATGAGATCTCAAGCGGTTAGGGATGGTGATGCACGAGCCGCTGTTGTCTGTTTTGCTAAAAGATAGTCATTTTAAACCAGTAATCTTTACAGCTTAGTGTTATAATACCAATAATATAACAACAGTAAGGTGCAAGTAAAAAAACCAGTTTGAGTAGTTCAACACTGGCTTAGTTTCACACAACTGTAGTAATTACAGTAATTACAGATGAGAAGCAGATAAAGACTGCAGACCAGCGAATGGCAGAAAGATGCCAGTAAACTGCCTTGAAACAGTTGCAAAGTATATTTCCAAATGATAAATGTTTAGCGACCGGATATGCATACTATGTCATGCTGTGCTCATTCAACTGCCTCGTTCACGTTTCAGCTACAAAGTGATGCACTAAGCATACGCAGATTTCAGCCGCTGAAAGTCAAACATACGTTTGACGTATAAGCAGGTAAATAACCTGAATTCAGTTTCAACAGATATACACGGACTCCACACAGCAAATCTCTCCTCTCCTCTTTGGAAGTATTTGCCAAAAAGTTCCTAGTGTTTTGTTGACTGTCAGAGTGATTCTGCCGTGCCGTAATGGCTTAACAAATAGTGCTTGGATCCCCCGAAACTACCTAAACTTAACGTTGGTTAACAGAGTTCCATCGACGGCTTATTCTTGAAGGATAAACTTCAGACAAGTGAGTAAAAACAAATTCCCACTAACATTGCTTTAATGCTATATAAGATGATAAGTTAGTTTCAACGGCCGCTTATCCCTTCAGGCCTTCGAGGCAGCAACATCTGACAGTCCAACTTTTCCTGGTCTTCTACCAGCGTCTGACCTTCCACAGAAAAATGCCGGAGTCCGGAACAAAATCTCCGTCAAGATAGTTGCATCAGGTCATTCTTGACCATCCCCGGAGAGTCTGCGGTCGTTCAGCTGAGCAAGTGTTAGCAGCTTTGTCTTCCTTTCTGCAAGCCTTCGTTAAAAGTGATCAAACCATAGCAGCTGTGACTTGTCAAATTAAAGAAGCGCAAGCTTCACAACGGCGGTTTGCCGCTTATCTGTACTTTGCACGACGTCGAATTGCATGAGTTCAGCGATTCTTCTCAGAAAATCGATTTCAGCTATTGGTACCCTGGAACAAACTTATTCCGTCATGGCCAATCGAGATAAAGATCCACTTGAACAAACACAGCATAGGCTTCACACTCAATTCTGCTTTAGTCACAGTCACTCAGTTCAGACAACGTCGAAAACGACTGCAAATAACTTATTGATTTCTTTGTCCCATTTTTCATCACCGGTAAACACATCTTGGTATTTATTAACCAGTTTTACTGATTCTCCGTTTGACAGAGATCGAGAAAGTACTTGGGCCTTTGGCTTGAACAACGTTCACACTTTTTCCCGCTACGCAACACGTTGATGCAAACGTTTACAGCGCACATACAAGATTTACAGCAACCTTTACAGCGCACATTCACTACTGCGATATATTTTAAAGTGTCTTGCTACATTTGTTCTTCCTTGCTACAAAACAGGCGTGATTTGCAAAAAAAACATGTTTTTAGATTACTGTCTTGCGACTGTTCTTCCTGGTCTAGTGCCAATGCATGCAGCAAAAAATGCCTTTCATTTCAATAGCTGCGGTCACAAAAAAGTCATATGCTTTCATTCAAGGGACTTTCACTGTTTTATGAAACCGCCAAACTGACACGTCTCCACTGTCAAAAATGACAAGTGCTGCGTCTAGAATCACTGAATTAAAACTCGCTTTAAACTGAAATAAAACATGGCCCGATACTCCGTGGTCGCTTCCACAAACGGAAGTTTTCAACACCACCTGTAAATATCACATTTCAAATACTAATACCGCGATCCTATGCAATGCAGCTGCTTAAATACCGTGAAGTCGTGACCTGCTTTAATGCCCCTCCCCTTCCGAGCAACTAGAAGCAACGAGGCAGTGCAATGATTCGGTAGAATCCAATGTAAATAATTCTA